TCAGTAGCAAAGATGACGAGAGTGAGGACAATGAGAGAGGCAACCAAGCACATGGTTATGTGTGTGGGTGAGTAGGAGGAGGAGGAGGAGAAGGAGGAGGGGGGAGTGTGGTGGAGTGAGGTATGCTGTGGCTGTGGCGGTGGCTTGCCGCTTGCATGCCGCAAGTCACACGACTTGCTACATGTGCGCGTGCAGCAATTGGGGGAGCGGGGGACGATGCGAGATGATGGAGATGATGGAGATGATGGAGATGATGGAGATGATGGAGATGATGGAGCTGATGATGGAGATGATGGAGATGATGGAGATGATGGAGATGATGGAGCTGATGATGGAGATGATGGAGATGATGATGATGGAGATGATGGAGATGATGGAGATGATGGAGATGATGGAGATGATGGAGATGATGGAGATGATGGAGATGATGGAGATGATGGAGATGATGGAGCTGATGGAGATGATGGAGATGATGGAGATGATGGAGATGATGGAGATGATGGAGATGATGGAGATGATGGAGATGATGGAGATGATGGAGATGATGGAGATGATGGAGATGATGGAGATGATGGAGATGATGGAGATGATGGAGATGATGGAGATGATGGAGATGATGGAGATGATGGAGATGATGGAGATGATGGAGATGATGGAGATGATGATGATAATGATGGAGATGATGGAGATGATGGAGATGATGGAGATGATGGAGATGATGATGACAATGATGTTGGCTCATCCGCATGCCCCCCCCCCCCATTTCTTGGGCACATGTGCGGTAGAAGCCATGGCCCACGGATTCTCCTCATTCCCCCCGCATGCGAAGAGATACGGCCGGCCGAGGTCAGGCACCGTCCCGCACACCGCTCTCTTGCTCAAGCAGTCAACAGCCAAGACATGGTCAACCCCTACACGGCGTACGGGAGCCAGAGCGGGGGAGGGACCGGATACGGAGGCCCGCAGCCGTCGTTTGCGGCCGAGGAGGGGCCTGGGGCGGCGATATGTCGCCTCTGCCTCCATGCTGGAGGGTCTGGCGAGGAGATGATTGCGCCATGCGCGTGCTCGGGATCGGTCAAGTGGGTCCATCGCGATTGTCTGGATACGTGGCGGGCGGTTGCGCCGCGGCAGGAGTCGTTCTATGCCTGTGATCTCTGTGGCTCCAAGTATGTGTTTGACGAGGTGAGCAAGAAGCCGTCCAAGATGCACTTCTATCTGCTGGTTGCCCGCGACATTGCTACTGTCTTTCTCATCGTCAATGTGTTCATTGTCCTCGTGGGCCTCGCCATCCAGGCTGTCTTCCAGCCCAAGGATGCTATCATCAACCGATTCTCGGCCACCCGGTGGATGTCGGAGCACTGGAACGACCACTTTGTCGACTTTATTGTCATCTACACCTGCGGCGGCCTGTTTGTCTTCTTCGTCCTTGGCTGCATGGCCATCACCTACGGCTTCTACCGAATGCTGGTGTGGTGCACCGGGTGCGACGAGACGTCGGCCGCCCATCGCGAGCCGCCGCCGCCGTACGAGGCGGCCAAGGCGTACCCATATCGCCGGGCGCGGCAGCCGTGCCGGCTCGACGGTTGCTACTACATCTACTGTGACACGCCGACGTACTACGGCTCTGGCTACCGCTCGGACCCATACATCGGCGGGTGCAACTGCTGCCTCGAGTGCTGCGATGGGTGCACGCGCGGGTGCGAGGTCTCGGGCTCGAGCGACTGCTCCGGCAGCTCGTGCTCGGGCGGATCCGGCTCTTCCAACAGCAAGGACGGCGAGGCGCTGATCATCATTGCCATCGTCATTGTTGCCGTCATCATTATTGTCGGCGTCTTTGTGGGCATCATCCTCCTCTCAATGCTGGTCTCCAAGATCGTCCAGCGCCGCGTCCGGGTCATGAACATGCGCGAGCGGACCAAGGTGTACGTCGTCCGCGACCTCGCCCGCCACCCGCTGCCGCCGCCGGGATCGACGACGGCTCTCGCGGCGGTCGTCCCGCCGCCGGTCCGCGCTGTCAACGGCTTTGCCGAGGACGAGCTGCTGCTCAAGGCAGCAGCGCCGCCACCGTCGTTTGCGGCTGTCTGACGCGCGTGCGGGGCGATCGAGCCTGTAAATTGTCTTTACCCGTGCAGCGCATGCGCAGCGCCCAGCATCGCGCACAGCTGGGCGACATTCATCTTGCCCTTGCCGCGGACGGCGGCCAGGGTGGCGGACGCGTCGGCGGCGCCAGAGGCAAACGCGTCGAGCTGGCGGGCGACGGTCTTGAGGCCAACCTTGGTCCGGGCGGCGGCGTCCTCGGCAGACTCGCCGTTCATGGCGCAGGCGAGGACGGCGTAGACCTTCTTGGGCCCGAGTGCAAACGGCGCGAGCCAGCGGTACCGCCGGGCGATGTAGGTCTCCATGGCACCGTCATGCGCGGCAGCCTTGGCGAGAGTGAGCCCGATCCGCGGGCCGGCGAGCGGAACAAACCGCGGCTCCAGCTCGGCTTCGACCGGAAAGATGCCGAGGAGCGGACAGGCAGTGGCGGGCGCAAGGCCGTCGGCGCCGATGTTGCCGCCGCTGGCGTGCACGAGCTCGACGATGGATGGCACGCCTGCGGCGTCGAGCAGAGAGTGAACCACGTTGCACGGACCAGAGACCAGCGGCGCAGCATGTTCGTTCGCCTCTCCTAGCTCGATGACGCCGCGGAGGAGCATGCCGGCGTAGACAGAGCCGGCGCGGCCAAAGGTGATGTCGACGCCCTTGAACGAGCCGCCCTTGTACTTTGCGTTTGGCGCGTTGCTCGCGCGATGAAAGTACCACTGCCCGGGCGAGGCCTGCTCCGCATGGGCATGGGCAAACGGATCGGCGTGGCCGGTAGCCTCATCGCCCAGCACATACGCTTCGAGCTCGACCATGCGGAATCGCTTCCCGCTCGCGCTCCTGATCTCGAACCTGTGCATGAGCGCCTCTGCCATATCCGCCAACTCGCCCTCGGGATTGCTGGTGAACGCCGCCGATGTTGGATCGCACAAAGCCGCGAGCAGTCCTGTCTCTATACTGCCCTCATCAGCCATGGTATGTGCGTGTGTGTGGAAGGGTGGTGGTGGTGGGTGTGGGGATGGGTACAATGGAAAGAAAGAGGTGTGGGCGGTTCGGATGGAAGGGATGAGTTGATAAGCGTTCATCGTTGCCCTTCGACCCACTTTGCATAATCGTTGCCATTCAATCAATCTCGTTCATCCCCCCACCTCCCCCTTCGCATAATCGTTGCCATTCAATCAATCTCGTTCATCCCCCCACCTCCCCCTTCGCATAATCGTTGCCATTCAATCAATCTCGTTCCATCCCCCCCCCCCTTCGCATAATCGTTGCCATTCAATCAATCTCGTTCAACAGCCAACCGGCGGCGACCGGCCCAAGTCACGTGTCCCTCAGCCACTTACAGGTCACACGCACAAGCCACGGCGTACAACCCGCACACGGTGCGATACCCATTCCCATACCTCTCTCCCTCTCCCTCCCTCCCTCCCCCCACCAACAACCCGCCTCCCACCACCCTCAGGTCATGCAGGTAGCAGACGCATATGCGGCGTCGTTGCGTACCGCGGCCGGGCGGCGTAGCGAGCGCAATCCTCCCAACTACGACATACTGCTGGGCATGCAGATGGTGCTGGGCATCTGGCCTGGGACCTCACCGACGCTCACTGTGGTCAACGCCATGTTTGTGTGGGCACTGGTCATTGCTGGCTTTGCCACCGAAGTCTATCTCCTCCTCTCGCACTCGCTCTACCGCGCCCTCGTCGAGGTCATCCTCAAGGTCATCGTCACCGTCGCCGCCCTCGGCTTCTCCATCCACTACTTTGGCCGCGAGCACGGCTTTGAGTACCTCGTCGCCCTCGTCCGCCGAACATGCAACAACGGGTGCGCAAAGACAAAGGCCGAGGCCCGCTCCTCCTTCCGCCTCCTCTCGCTCGGCCATCTGGTCGTCCTTGCCGCCGCCATCGTCGCCTTCTCACTCCTCGACATCATGGCCTTTGACTACGACGTGCGGACGTACGTGACCGGCGACATTCCGCTGATCATCACCGTCGTCGTCAAGACCGGTCTCGTCCTCCGCACCATGTTCACCCTCACCTTCCTTATGTTCTACTCGCTCACCTGCTTCCTGCACTCGGTGCTGGTCAAGCAGCTCCTCCGCTCGCTCGCCGCCGCCCCGCGCGACCTCGGGCCGGTCTACTCGCTCCATTCGAAGACGCTGCTCTCGCTCCGCGCCACCTCTTCGTCGTTTTCCATTGTCTCGGCCTGCATCCTCGTCCAGACCTCAGTCCAGTTCCTCTACCTAACATGGGACTCGATGGTCACTTCGCGCGGCGTCGGCTACGTCGTCGCCCGCCTCTGCACCCAAATCCTGTGTATCTACCTTGTCACATGCGTTCCCGCGGCAACCTCGTACCTCTGCGCCCGCGTTGCCTTTGAGGCCAACTCGCTCCTTGCCGCAACGTCGCCTCTCCTCGGCTTTGGCTCTGCCCCGCCCTCGCCGCCTGCCGCCTCGCCGTACAACTCGGTCCCGCCGTCATCGTCTGTCGGCGTCACCCCGGGCGACGAGCCGCTGCTCCCGCTCCTGGCCTCACACACCGTCTCCTCGCCCGCCCGCGGCGCACACGTCCACGAGCACGCCTGGCAGTCCTCACTCTCCGCCCTCGCCACCTACTTTGCCCGCTCTGACTTTTTCCTCTCCGTCTGCGGCGTTCCGCTCTCCCCGACCACTGCTGCCCTCCCGTTCTACGTCTACACCGTCTGGGCCATCCTTGCTGCCTGGGGCGCCCTCACCCGGCATGCCACCGGCTGATCTGCGCTTGCCTGCGCCCTTGCCTGCGCCCTTGCCTGCGCCCTTGCCTGCACTCTCGCCTGCGCTCTCACCTGCACCCGTTTGTGCCCGCACTCGCGTGCTTGCCCACCCAGTCGCCGCTTGTTCCATCTGTCTCGGTCAAGCCGCGTCATCTTGGCTCTCGTCGCACCCCACACCCCGCTGTGCCCTCAATCACCCCACCCCACCCCACCACCCCTCATCCTCCTCCCACCCACTCGCCTCGCCCCTCGTCTCGTAACACAAAACCAATCACAATCACTAAACCCCTCTCGCCCATCCACATTGCGACTTGCGAAGCCCACCACCTGTCGCGCAGATCCTTCCACCCTAGCGTATAATTCCAGATTCATGGGGTGACTA